GGAGAAGAAATTGATAAAACATTTCCACGTTTGCTTAGCCTATTTTCTAGCTTAAGCCATGATTCATGAAGTATGCAAAGAACAGTTTGCCTACATACAGTACGTAATTCTTTCCCATTAATGTTTCCATATTACATGCGGTAAATTTATTAATTCTATGCTGTTAGCCTTGACTGTGTATTCGGTCATTATCTACCATTTAAATGTGAATATTAGAATAAAAGAAGCCATGCGAATTTTATAGTTTTCCCTGTGCATAAAAGGGTTATGCTGGCAATTTACATATTATTGCATATAAAATAACATGGCTCTTTAGCTTGTTCCCATTTGTTTTTTGCTGTAGCAGAACATTTAATTTCCTTCAAGAACCTTTATATTCAAAATTCCTCTGCTTCATATAAAAGGGTTAACTTTTGGCTTGGGTTAGTTTGGCTTCAGAGTTCGACACTTTTCCTCGTGTATTGTAATTCTGAAAACTTTTATGTATCATATTTAAACGGAAATATCAATTTTGGCCGTTTAGACAACTTTTTGTGTGTGCTTACGGACAGAATAAAGGAACTTTTTTTTTAAAACGGTGGATTCATAAGGAACTGTTTTGTGTCGCATGTATGTTTCTACAAATCTCACATAGCTCAAAAACGATTAGCCGTAAAACGTTGAAATTTTGTATATGGGGCTGCAAAAAAACCTACAAAATTTACCAGATAAAATAGTAATAAATTTCAAACTATTACCACAAAGTTATTGAAATATTTTTACTGTAAAAAATTTCTATAATAGTGTATATGTACACTGCGCAAAATAAAATGAGACAGTTCTATATCTCCCGTTCTACTGGGCCGATTGACGAAATTCAACTTTCGTTTTCATGTCTCGAAATCGCGACTTATGATAGGTATTAGATTTACATATAGCATTGTTCTAATAAAGGTATTTTGACACAAAATCAGATTTTATATATGGAATATGAAAAAAATAGCGGATGAAATATGGAAAAAAATGGAATGTCATTTCAGAAAAAGTCCGATTTTGTGTCAAAATACTATATTACAGCAATGTTATATATAAATCTAATACCTATCATAAGTCGCGCTTTCAAGACATGAAAAACGCAACTTGAATTTCATCAATCGGCCCAGTAGAACGAGGGATATAGAACTGTTCCCCCCCCCTTTTTTTCGCAATGTATATATATATATATATATGTATATGTTACTCATCCCCTTAACAGACTTTTATTTTCACAATCGTTGGTTGTAATATATATTTCCACTTACAGAAGTGTTTAAATGACGAATACATTTATGTTTTGGCAATGTCAAATTAAAAAAAAAAGAAAAGGAACAAAATCCAACTTTTAATGCTTGTCTCTCAGTTCCTATACTAACATTTGAGAAAGTTTTATGAATATATAGAGTGAATGTTTATATGAAAGTATATATAGAATATGAATATGAATCCTTATATGAATATATGAAGGTTATAATGAAAAAATAAAATCATAAGATGATGGGACTCCCGTTCAACAAAAATTGACCGGGATATTTTTCAAAATTCGCAATTTTTTATGTAATTTTCAACTTGTCTTGAAGAATGGGTTGGTTAATTAAGCTAAAATAATTCGAGACTAATTTTAAAAGAGCAGCAAAAATTGTGTTTAATTTAATAGACTGTACAAGGAAGTCATAGTTCACAACAGATTATGATAAAAAAAATCTTTTTATTTATAACGCGAAAAGTGCGATTCTTCTGTTCATTTCAGCGTTTAAGAGGCAACTGTGCGATTATTATTCATAATTTCAACAAAATGTTGGTGGAAAAGTTTTAAATATTGCAGGAACTAACAGAAACAGAGCATGAAATGTATTGAAATAATATGGTATTCTTAGGAGAGAAAGAGTTCATGAGACAGATAATTTTTAAAACAGACAAAAATGAGTAGTAATCTTAAATAAAATTAGTATTTTCCCGAAGGAATCATAAGAATTCGAAAAAAATTCATTTCCATCTTGTACCAAATAAATAGCTTTTAAACTGGAAATGAAATTTCAAGTGAAACATTAATTGTAACAGAATAGGAATGTCATCCTTTGAAACTATTTGCCATTAATACCCATTCTGAAATTTCCTCAGTTTTTGAAAGTTAGATAGTTGCGACTTTAGAATCATGTTTAATGCTGAATGTAGCAGCTACCATTAATGAACATTCATTGTCTGGAAACAAGCTATTGAAATATATGAACTGTATAAAACATCATTTTTATGGTCAGATAACTTCTTTTTTAGTGTTACTCACCTGTATGTCCTCTGTATACTGAACTTCAGGAAGCTCCCCAATCAAAAAAAATGAAAATATCAAATCTAGAGATATGTGTGATCCTTCATACTAAAATTTATAACGTTATTTATTTTAATTTCTCCGCATAAGTTTCTCCGCATTATTGACTGGGGAAAGAGCAGAGAATGATTCTCCTTCCAGAAAAATTCCACAAAATTCAATGTTTAATCTCTTGCCGATTATAAAAACTGCTGTTCTAAAGTCACATATTCAGGATTACAAGATACAATGCCACCTAATGGATATATTTGTAATTAAAAATATTTATAATTATAAATTTATATCTTTCTATGCTAATTAAATTGTATATAAATAATTACATTATATGTTGTAAATGGTCTAATATATTGCAAACCCTTATCAAATTAAAAGCGAATAAAATAAAATCATTTTTAAATGTATCAACAACTACTGCTCACAGGTATCTAAACTTTTTAGGCTTATTTATTAGGTTTCCTAATATTTACTGAAATGAGCTTTTTGTGATAAACTAAGAAAAAAAATTTTTTTTTAATTTTTTGTGTGAGAAAAGTGCTAAATTTTACTATGTCTAACAAAATATTCTGCAAATTATGTTAAAATTCAAAATGTTTCAAAAGCTCATTTCCGCATAATCAGATAGGTATACTTTAATTACACAAAAAATTTCAAGCGTGTATCTACACCAGATTTTGAGAAAGGGTACATCAAAAATGGCCAATTTAACATTGTCGGTATAGGGGTATCTGACACCCCTTAAAAATCATTAGCTATCATTTTAATTCTTCAGAAGTCCAAACTTAAGAAGAAACATTTACATGCTAGACAAAAATCACTGTTATTAAGATTGTTGCTATTTCTTCATAACGTAACTTCAGTGACTGGAATCAGCTGCTGGCTAATCCCAACAAATTCATTTTACAGGATATGGTAGACTTCATAGCATATTAATAAAATCATGCATAACCAACTGCTTTCTATTCATCATTCTCTGTGTCAAATAGTATTACAGGAATGCCATTTATCAGACAGTATTTGAATACAGCATATCCCTGATGCACTGATCATTCTTCCAAGCAGCATTAGAAGCTGTGAATAACTTGAGAAAACATATTGCCTGCGATAACAGTGACCGCAAGTATGTATTCTGAGCATGAATATATACCATCTAACAACTACATGAACGCCCAAGGTATACAGAGACTTTTCATACCAGAAATGTTTCTCATTATGGTGGCAATCAACTTGTATTAAGTCCCCCATTCAACATCAGCGAATTTTTTCATACAGAAGGTATTTCAAGGAAAATTTTTCCAAATAAATTATGCCATAAAATTGTAGCTAAAGGACCATATTACAAGTCCATCATTGATATTTCTACTAATATATTACAAGCAATGGGCAACTTCCACAGCCAATGTGGTGTAGTGGGACTGCCATTTGACCGAGATCAAGTCCTAAATAACAAAAGGCATTCCTATAATAATGATTTGGCATAAAATATAATAAATAAAAAAATTTTTTGTTTATACTTTCCCAAGATACTATGAATAATATACTATACTAAGATATTATGAATTCTGGCACGCCCTATACAACAGAAGTTATTTTCATACAAATCTCACACTGTTTGTAGCCTTTTCTCCCACTGTTCTCAAATAATTTCAGACAAAATATACCATATTTACTAAAAAAAACAAGATCCCCTCAAATATAAGACCACCTTACACTACAGGGTAAATTTTAAGGGAAAATATATACAAGTGAATATTTTATGACAGCATGGTTCTGTTTAAATTCATTTGCTTTTTATTAGAATTAAGGCCACATTACCTAATTAAATACAATACATTGTCAAGGTATAAAAAGAAATTAACTATACATTATTACCTATTTGTTTTCAGGCAGACCAGTAACCAGTTTTCAACTAGACAAGGCTATTATATTTAGCAGTAGTTAACTCCTTTTATATAGTGAACTTCTTCCTCTCATTCTGCAATTATAAGATCCTACCAAATTTTAGAACAAAAGTGTAGCAAAAGAAGGGGAGATCTTATTTTAAGAGGAAGGTAAATTTCAAGAATTCATCTACTAAAATTTAGTTATCATTGATATATTTCTTGGCATGCTAAATAAAATTGAACGCTATTAAGGAAAATTCCCTTTGTGTTAAATAAAAAAAACTTCATATAAACTGCACCCAAAACATGTTAATACAAAAATGACTGTAAAAATCTTTCAAACATCTTCTTTTGCCAATAAATAAATATTTTTGTTATATATTGCTAAATTCAGGATATATATATTAACTTTTGGATTATCCCTGCCTTTGTACCTCTAATTTTTAATTTGAATGGCAGCAATCTATTTTAATTTGTATTCTTTTGTTACCTAATGCAATACTAGGTATTCTGATAAAGTATTAGGCACTTAAGGCGAAAAAATTTGGACAATGCATTTGTACTCTTCTGAATTAAAATGTTTTCAGTTGGGTAATTATGTATCTGCTTGTACATTACCAGCTTTTTTCTTCTCTCAATTTCTTCTGCCCTAAATAACCTATAGTGTTAGTTTTATTTAATCAGCATTGAATTCACTTACCTATATGACAATATTAATTATATCATACATCTTTAAACTATGTAATTCATTCAAAATGAAGTGAATGCCAACACATGGATTTCACTATTTATATAAAAGTTTATTGAACTAGAATATCTTGCTTCTTAACATATTTACATAGAACCATAACAATAAATAAAAATATAAAATGCCGAGCAGCACTGGAACTCAACATCACAGTCAACACTTATTTCACATTAAGTACAAAGTTATATACAAATTAATTATATATCATAGAAAGAAATATAATTCCATTTCAATAACTACATGAAATGTACAAGAAGTTTATATACAAATATAGATCCATCTTATATACTATCTTCTTAGTTAATATATGTTGATTAATTACTAAATAAATGAGGTGCCTAAACATAACACTAACTTTGTATAATACTCATGTCAGAAGCTCACAATAAAACTTCCAAGAGATGCAATGCGTATTTATAATGAATTGTTAACTAAAAATACCGAAATCTTCCATTTAGATACGTGTAATACAGTAAAATAATATCAAACAAACTAAAACATACAAAACAGAAGGTCCAGATAGCGCGGTCCAATATACAACTGAGATATCAAGAAGAATCAAATAGTAAGAATTAGAAAAGTTATATTGTGAATGTTGCAAGCTATACTAAGCGTGAAGATAAAAGAGCAAATAGAAAAAACATAAAATGGAACTCAAAAAATTTAAGTTTATGTATAATAAATGTAAATATAGACTAGTATACAACTGAAAGACAATAAGAATGACAGAAGTACAACAAACAGCGTGAATGGTACAGCTTAGAATCAACAATCGCACACATAAGTTAGATCATTAAATTAAATTTCTTATCTTGAAGACCATTAACAGAAAATGTAGATCAGTGTACAAATATACAATTTCAACAAAGATAAATAAAGATGAAATATGGCTTAAAAAATAGATTCCTTCAGAACAGCGTATTTGAAGAAATGGTATATTCTCGAATTTCTAGACTGAAACCAGAATTTCCTAGAAAATGGATTCTTCCAAAACTTCTTAGATTGCAAGCAGGCCTGAAGATGTACAAGGGAAACATCTGTCTCAGCTTCTCCAATCTAGGCAGATGATCATGTTATGAACAATTGACTCATTTGTTTGCTTATATATGAATGCCCTCAAAATGTGAGTAACTACCAAAAACAATTTCTTTCATTTTAATGCTAACAAGCTCGCTAATAAGACAAGAATTTAATGCACATGACCATTTTACAAATTTTCCTCAAACATACATAAAAAGAACAATGAAAGCAAAATCAATAAAGTAAATTCTTAAAATAAACTGACATTCAGGTGTACTTTGAATTTGCAATGATGAAAAAATATTTGCTTATAATTATGATCAGAAGTGAAAGAACTCTATTCTCAAAAGTGTCTGCTGTCACAGCCTATAAATTATGCAATTCAAAATATAACTAAAAAAGAATTCTGTAACTTAAAAAATAATAACTCAAGAGAATTAATAAAAACTGAAATACTTTTCCTTCACTGAAATGATAGGCGGGGATTAGACTTACAAACTTTTCACAAGAAATAAAAACAGATACAAGAGTAAGTATAACAAGCATTTTTTTTAAATGTTTTTCTATAATAAAATTAAAAGTAGGTAGGAGTTCAAGCATTAACTTTAATAAAAAAAAAAAAATTTAAAGAGATTCATTTGCTTTTCTACACAAATTAACAATTAAAGTGAGATATGTTTGTTGATTCTGGTAATTTAAAAAAATGAAATCATAAGTACAAAACAGAGAATTCTGTACTTGCATAATCAACTCTTTTTGTTACACAGAGCTGCTTAAGTTTCCAATTTTGACTATCTATGATGCTTAGCATGTACAGTAAATTGTAAATATGATAAACAATGTCAAAAAAAAAATTTTTGTGATCGTTTACAAAATATTAACAAGTAAAACTTACTTATAACATTTCAAAAATAAAGATAATAACTTTCATGCTGTAATAAGATAAACAAATAACTTCCTTTATAAATAATAACTATAGAAATATGAAATACCTCTTTTATCTCAAAAAGGTCTTAAAATGCACAAATAGGGATAAAATATCTGCTAAAATTTACTTTAATATTAAATTTAAAAAATTAAACTAATTATAAAGTCTTGAAAGTTTTATCCAGCGTCGCTACACATTCACACTGAAGGATTATACTAAGGTAATTTCTCTATTCTATTCTATTCTGTAGTAAGTTCATATAAAATTTTTAATTCTTAAAAATTCTATATTACTTATTTTGAGCATTTCGATCCTAGAAATTCCTGTCAGGTTCATTTTGGTATATAAAAATTAAATATGCTTTATGAGTAATGGATATGAATCAACACAATTTTTTATCATTTGCTTTTAAGACTTTTTCCGTTTCTATAAAATCCTTTAGTAGTTATTTAATTCTATGTAACTGCATATAAAAAAATTATTACATATGAAGCCAATAATATCACATACTTTCACTAAATGCATTAAAATACAATCTGAAAGAAATTAATATCTTTTAAGAACAAAAACAACTTAAAAAGCTGGTAACAAATTTGATTTGAAAATAAAATTTCAGAACGCAATCTATTGTACACTGTAGCTGCATTTTACCTTAATATCTTCTGAAAGTAAAGTACAGATGTAATATATGATGAACAGAAATCACACTGCAATATTTAATCAATTCCAAATAATTAAATCCCCAAAAAAATTTTCATACAATAAAATCATACTTTTATTAAATTAATTAAATTTGAGAAATAAATAAATACTTTTAATTATAAAAATAGATTAGAAATTGGTACCAAATTTCAATTGAAAGTAACATTTTAATTTGGATTTATAATATATCTCCATTTACTTTACATATTACTAGAAATTACATTACATCGTCAAGTGATGGATTCTGATTTTCAGGACAATATGGTAAATGGTCATATACATCTGGACCAGTAGGAAAGATTTTCAGACACAACCAACACATATGAGAATTACAGTTTACACATTCCATATGATTACACCCACTTTCCTTTTCAATAACCATATTACACTTTGGGCAATGTTTTCGTGCAGATTCATTTTCCTTGATCCAAACCTAAAATATACGACCAGTCATTAAATTGCTAAGAAGAAAACACATTTAATTAACCTTTACAATATCAAAATCTTCCTTAAATTGTATTGAGGGCCATACAATAATCAGTATTTTTTAAGAGAATGCTAATTGCACATAATGCTATACACACTATTTGAAAAAGTTAACAGTTGGATCTGTTTCCTTGATTACAGATCATAAAATGTACTTCCAACAGTAAATTTTTAAACAATAGAGAATGTTATGAAAACACTTTCAATATCATGGACAGGAGGATTCTCTTTAAAAAAAGACTAACTGAATACCAAATGTCTCACTAATTTGAACACTTTTTAAAGAAGCATATAAAATATTTGTATCAGAGTGTGATTTGCACCTAAAGATCATAGATATGCAATTTTGTTGGCATAAGATACACCTTAGCTAAAATGTTTACCAAAATTTTGTGTTACACCATTAAAACCTTGAGGACCAGTGTGCAGAGAACGATATGCAATCACAGGACCGAACCTCCCTGAAATGAAACGTCAACACCGACCAAAACATTTTCAGTACTTAGCCTAATTTTACAAAAATATTCATATAAAATAAGCATGTTAATATAATGACCTCAATTTTTGAAGTTACGTATTTAATATACCAATTCTTAATATGTACTAATATAAAGAATATCACATTAATAGAAATAAATGAAACATGCAAAATACCAAAATTATAACTATACACATGAAAACAAAATTACAAATATGAAATTTAAAAGAAAATTAAGCAATAATTATCTGAAGGTAATTAAATTTCAATTTAATAGTTCTGCTGTGTGTGGAATAATTTAAAACGAGGACTGACACACAGGACAATGATAGCTTTTTTTTTTTGCCAAACACGTAAGATGTATCACGCATTGAGATAGCTGATGTCTTTCCCCTTCTGTATTAATGCTGTAACATTACTTTCTAATTAATTAAGAAAGTCTATGTTCAGTTTTAAAATAAATACAAAAAAGGACAACTGATCCAAGTTTTTCCATCACAGAAATTTATAAAATTAGCTCATACAATTTTTGCTCCTCAATGTTAATTGAATTTGGTATATATTTGTTAATATCGCTTTTGTTATTAAACTTATTTTATTCTTCCTTTCACATTTCAAAACTTAGGTTCATTCCAAATAATTCCCCTATTGTTTGTGATTAATTTTAAAATTCGTATTTTTAAATAATTTTTAGAAATTTTGAAAACATTTTGAATTATAACCTATAAAATTTTTACCATCATCTTAAAGTAGACGTATTTTGAAGCATGCCTGCAAAAAATTAGCTTTTTATTCAAAATTTCCGAAGATCTACGTGAATTTATATATTGGTGTGTTTTGAAATTTCACATATTTGTTGAAAGCGATAAAACACCAAATGCTGTTTAGACACCTTGCTAAAGTTATCTGAAAGTAGAAAAGATATAACTTTTTTCCCGCTCATGCGCAATGTTAAAAGGTAACAACAAGGTGCCTTTTTTTTCCGCTCCGGCCTAATGGAAAGGAAAGGAAAATTGGTTGCCATATATTAAGAAGTTTGCTAAGAGAATTATTCTTGGTGCAAACTGAAAAAATTGTGCCAAGATAAATTTTTGAATTTCTCCGTAAATTTCGCACCAAATTTTACAAAATTTAATATCAAAACATAATTTGAGTCGCTGAATCAAAATATGGAAAAAAATGTGTATGTTATTTCAGAAAAAGTCCTATTTTGTGTTAAAATACCTATGTTAAAACAATACTATATAAAAACTTAATATATATCCTAAGTCGCACTTTCGAGACATGAAAAATGCAATTTGAATTTTGTCAATCGGCCCAGTAAAATGGGAGATATAGAACTGCCACCCCTTTTTTTGCGCAGTGTACCTCATAAACACATTATTAAATAAGTTATATACAGATTTAAATTATTACAAAATAAGCTTATTGCTTTTAAATTGCTAAGTACAAGGTGTGGCTATTAATTTCCAGGACTGCTCTAACAACACCAGAACAGATGATGTGAAAAAGTAACCTCTTAATATGTTTCGAAGTAATTCCCATCTGCCATAATACACTTCTGTGCTCAGCTGTATAAGTTTGTGGAAACAACTTTTAAAGTCCTCTTTCAAAAGGCTCTTCAATATCGACGTCACGTTGTTCTTGATGTCTTCAACATCTACAAAGCGTGTTCCTTTGATCACAGTTTTGAGTCTGAGAAACAAAAAGAAATCTGTGGGGGCCAAGTCAGGAGAGTATGGTGGATGATGCAGCTCCATGACCTCATGCTTGGCAAAAAACCTCTTCACTGGCAACACATTGTGGGTGCGGGCATTGTCATGCACCAGAAATCAACTCCCATTATGTCGAAAACGGGGACGTACTCTGTGAATTCTTTGTCGGAGTCGGGCAAGAACTTTTGCATAAAACTGTCCTGTAATAGTAGTGCCTGTTGGGATAAATTAATGGTAAATAAGTCCTTCAATATCGAAGAAAGCAATTAACATGACTTTGACCTTTGATTTTTGAAATCGAAATTTTTTTTGTTTAGGGGAGCTGGGAGGATGCCATTCCGTGCTCTATCTCTTGGTTTCAGGGTCGTATTGATAGCACCACGATTCGTCACCCATCACTATCGAATCCATGTTGATGAGTTCACCACACGTGTCCATTCTGACTTGCTTCTAATCGCCCGATAAACAGTGCGAAACAAATCTGGAACACACTTTGCATTTCCCTAGGTCTTGTGGCAGAATTTGACGAACCACCTCGTTGTCGATATTCTGACCAGCATTCTAATAGTCAGTCGCCGATCCACTGTTACAAGCTCGTGAACTTTCTCAATTGTTTCAGGCGTACACATGGAAATCGGCCTCCTGGTGTGGCCGTCATCTTCAACACTTTCATTGCCGTCCCGAAAACGTCTATATCATTCAAATGTGTGAGAACAGGATAATGCTTGCTCAGCATACACTTGCTTCAACATTGCATGTGTTTCTGTCACACTTTTGCCCAGTTTAAAGCAGAATTTGATGTTCACCCTATGTTCCATTTCAGCACTTTCGCAACACCACTTTCCCACTTCGACAACAACACTTCACCAAATACATTTCCACGCGTCTTTCCCAGCCAAGAACTGACACGCGCTGTGGGGAGCATGTGCAGATGTACTACTTTCCAGATACCAGCAGCACCTCTCTCGGGCGAGTGATCGGTTTCATGCTGTGACGTCAGTCCTGTATATTAATAGCCATACCTTGTGTTTTTAAAATAACAGATTAATTAAATCTTAAGATAAAATAAAGATCTTATGTTTCACAGAATGGAAACAACGAGATTTGGGTGTCACACAATGGTGTATGGATCTTATTGGCTAATTGGTTTACTGGCTGTATTTGTAAAGATACATTCAGGAGGTGGAGGAGCCAGTAAGTGAAATGTACGACCTGATATGTTTCAGTTGTTGGTGAATAAATGATAAACACTACATCTAGTTTTTTTTTTTTTTTTTTTTTTTTTTTTTCTTTATCTGTCAATTTTTGAGACATCATCATGTCTATGGATTTTATTTTGCCAAAAATGTTAGGTGGAAAAAATAACATCTCCAAGCATAAAAAATTCTGATTTTCTATATGATCTTTGAAATGTAAAAATTGCAAATGTGCAATATTTGCAGCATTGGCTAATTGATTAAGGCAAAAATGTTAGAGTTGAGGAGAATATTCAAGGAGTCAGTTACAAATTTAATAATAAATAATTTAAACTAAACCAAAACTGCCAGTTAAAAATTTAATAAACAAAGTAAAACCACTGAGTGAAAATCTGTAGCTTTCATCAAATTTAAACTGAAGAAAAGTCATAAAATTTCTTCTTGAATATTTCAAATTATATACATAAATATGTGGAAGTTGTTTTAATTAATTAGAGCATAATGAATGTTTAACGATGCTATTTTTTAGATTATATAAAGAGAGATTATATATAAAAAAGATTATATAAAATATATTATAAATTATAAAAAAAAATGAATTCTGTCTTAGTGAACTTCTAGACAAAGTTATGAAGTTCTTTACATAAAATTCTGTACTTTATTTTGAAAAATTTTGTAATTTAAAGTACCGTATATACCCGTGTATAAGTCGAAATATTTTGGACAAAAAAAAGACTTCAAAGTGTCAAATTTAATTTGCTTATTTTTCTTATTTATATCATTGGTTATGTTGTGCTTCGCAATGATGCTAGTCCATTTTTAAGTCTGAACTTTTCTTCATTCCTTGAAACTGCATATGATATTGCATGGTTCTGTGCAGTGTTTTATCACTCTGTTATCTGTTAATAAGCTAAATTTCAGAATTCTTTATGTGTATGTGTAAAAATGCATTACAAATACTAACATAGCATGCAGTACATTTTATTATTATTTTAATATCAGTAGTCTTGTAATGCTGTAGTATGATTGCAAACTGTAGTATGATTGAAACTTATATGTGGGGCCATAAAAAATTAAAAGAATCGGAAGTTCAAAAATTTTTTTATGTAATGCAGTTGTTTTCTCCCTCACTCAAATCGGACGACTTATCAAATAAGTCACTTGAAGTAATTTCATGACTTAAATTATGTGACGAACTAGTCACAGAGTTTCATACTTTAACTAGAGTAAGTTTCAATTAAACCAAAGAATTTTTGGCCCCCGAACAACTGATCAATATCGAGCAATAAAAAATGTTGTTGATATGGCTGATTTATTGGTAGTTAAACAGAAACGTCAGTCATACGCTGCTGGAATTAAGTTAAAAGTTATTTCTTTCGCGGAAGAGACTAATAACTGTGCTGCTTCTCGTCAGTTTGGGGTTGACGAAAAATTTATTCGCGTTTGGCGCAAGAATAAAGTAAAGTTACAAAAAATCCCGAAATCGAAAAAGGCATCGCGACATGGAAAAGTTCCTTTTCCAGAACTCGAAAATGACTTGTATGCTTGGGTTTTAGAGTGCCCTTTCATGGTCAAGAGTGAAGGTTTGGTGCAATGAATTCATATAAGAGCGGGAATGTATTCGAATCAAGGTCATCCCTGTCATCCTCGCACCACTGAGACTAATGAAAACATTGCATATGCTTGTGAGCTTATTGGACAGGATCTATGCTGTACAGAGCTTCAAATTTCGGAAGAACTTGGAGTCAGCTATGGAAGTGTCCAGCCACTCATCAGAAAGCATTTGGGGATCAGAAGAGTTTCAGCTCATTGGTTTAAAAAGTCACTGAATGATGATAAAAAAAAGCTGAACAAGTTCATATTTCTCAATTGCTTGAAACTTCATTTGAAGAAAGGGTAGCCTTTTTGCATAAAACTCTCATCTGTGATGAGACATGGGTGCATTATTACACCCCTCAATCAAAGCATGCAAGCATGGATTGGAAAAGGAAAGGCGAAAGACACCCAGTGAAAGACAAAACTCGATTGTCAGCGTGGAAAATGTTGGCCACAGCGTTTTGGGACTCGAGGGAGTTCTTAATGGTGGATTTCTTATAAAAACATAAGACAATCAATGCAACCTACTACTACGGTCTCTTGGACCAATATCGATGGAAAAGACAAGATTGTCCCATCCATGAAGTGCTGATTTTTCATGATAACGCCCGGCCTCACATAGAAGGTGTAACACAGCAGAAACTAATGGAAATGCACTGGAAAATGCTTGATCATACACCTTACAGCCTAAACTTATTGCCATGCGATGTCCACATGTATGGACACCTCAAAGAAGCACTTGGAAACATGCAATTTGAGTCCAAAGATCAAGTGGAAACATTCATACACAACTGGTTAGATATCCACCAAACTTCATTCTAAGAGAATGGAATAAAAAATTACCAAAGCGCTGAGGAAAATGTATCTTGAAAGTAGGAGATTATTTAGAAAATTAATTTGGAGAAATGTAGATATTTTCTATAACATAAATTAAACAAAAGGCTTGTCTATATTTGATTCACCCTCATATGATGAAATTCAATAGATAAATTATGAATGCATACATTTTATTATGTTTGCATACAGCATTACAAGACTACTGATATTAAAATAATAACAAAATGTACTGCATGCTATGTTAGTATTTGTAATGCATTTTTACACATACACATAAAGAATTCTGAAATTTAGCTTATTAACAGACAACAGAGTGATAAAACACTGCACAGAACCATGCAATATCATATGCAGTTTCAAGGAATGAAGAAAAGTTTAGACTTAAAAATGGACTAGCATCATTGTGAAGCAAAACATAACCAATGATATAAATAAGAAAAATAAGCAAATTAAATTTTTGGAAAGATAATGAAGTTAAATTAAAATGTACTGCATTAGGAAGAAACATAAACAAAATAGAAATATATTGCTTAATACTAATTTAGAAGTCAAACAACAAAAATCAGCATTACATTTTCAAATTTCACAGATTAGTTTCTATGGTTTTTGCCGAACCACCATCGTCAGCTGCAAAAGCGCAAATGAACGAGATAGGATATAATGATCAGATAAGATAATGGACAGAAAATAAGCTTTTTCACCCAACATTATTAATCAAGCAGTTAAAAAATTCTCATTTCAACACACTATAAGGCACACTCTTGTTTTAGATTATAAAAATTCTGTTGTCATTCCCTTCTTTCCATCAATTAGCTATAAAGTTGCACATATTTTGCAGAAATTTAACTTTCGGGTCGTTTATTCTCAAATCAATAAAATTCTGAGTTCCACACTCAAGGACCCTATTCCGGATATGAATTCCTGGGGTATTTATAGAATTCCTTGCCAGTGTGGTTTAATTTACATTGGCCAAACTAAGAGAGCCTTTAAATTTCACGCCAAGGAACATGAGGCATATGTTAGAAAAAAGGAAACACAGAAGTCTTCTGTTGCCCAACATTGTTGGTCCGAAAATCACACTTTCAATTTTTCTGCTGCCAAAATTATTCAAAAAACATCTTCCATTGGAGAACTGGATTTTCTAGAGGCATTTCACATTCAAAAAAATCTTTCTGTTCTAGTTAACAATCCTAATTCCAATCCATCTTTGCCTTTGGCCTTTAAAGAAATTATGTTTTAGTTCTGGTTTCATCAAGAGATGGTGCCCACTAGCTTATTTTCTGTCCGGGCTTTCTTATCTTATCTGATCATTATATCCTATCTCGTTCATTTGTGCTTTTGCAGCTGACAATGGTGGTTCGGTAAAACCATCGAAACTAGTCTGTGAAAATTTGAAAATATAACGCTGATTTTTGTAGTTTGACTTCTGAATTAGTATTTGTTCGGTGTGTTATTGTGTCTTAATATTGCTTAATGTTAGTTTTTGCATTTACTATTAAAAAATATACTGCATAAATACTTGAATGGCAAAGTTCACTCAAATATTCTAATATTTTAAGTGAGTTCCATGGCATGTGAAAAAGAAAGTTAATTTTCACAAACTTATTTTGGGTCATAATATGCAGTAGATACTTTTATAACATGTACTGAGACACAACCGGATATAACTTGATCAGAATGTCTTTGCTTAAAACACATCCAAAGCAAAGATAAATTGATATGTCTTTGGATACACCTAAAGAAGGTGGTTCTTTGCTTTCTATTGCAGATTTTTACACCAGAAATTTTTAAAAAAATATTCTAGACTTCCCTCTCTTCCCTACAGAATTTTTTTTTTTTTTTGTTTGTTTTCGAGGGGGTAATAAAGTTCATCTGTATTTCCAAATACAAAATTCTGCTTAAAAGAGGCACCTGTACATTTAAACTCCAAAAAATTTTGCTCCTGAACAACTAGATTTTTTTCACTTTTTATAGCTGGATTTTTACTCCTGAATATGATGGACAGTGGTTTTCCAGTACAGTTACTTTTAGCATGCCTGTACAAATGCCTATCAAAATGAATGGAACAACAAATCATGGCAGAATTTCAATTAATTAAAACTCAAACTGCTATGCAAATATTTCAAATTAGTTTATTATTTAAAAGGATGAGTATAAATAAAATAAATGAGAAAGGAATTTTTAAAACTAATTTTACAGTTCATAGCAAAATTTTACAAAATTGCAAAATATTTATTATCCAATAGCATTTTACTTTCAAATACATAACATACCATAATTTTTAAATTAAAGCTCCTTTAGCTATTAAATGAATCACACATAAGATAAGATATATTATGAAAAAACAGACCAAACAAACTTCATCACCTGTATTTTCATTACATATTTTCATTTTTAACAAAATTTTTTAAAGAAAATTTTTATTATGCATTGATTTAAAAACAAGAGTGACACTTAAATGTTCTTAACCAATCAGATACAGCTCATAAACCAATTTTAAAAAAAAATTGAAATTGATTGCCTTGGTTAAAATCTGAAATGATATTATTGCATATGCATGGACTGAATTAATGAAATAAGCAAAATCACACAGGAACTAGCTGCCTAAAATCAATTCTGATTTTGTATAACTGAATGTTAACTGTGTCATATCCCTCTTTCCTTAGTACCAAGCCACTAAAGACCTTTCACACCAACAGAATTTTTTAAATGCCCGTATATTGTAAAGACATTCATTACAGTCACACCGCCCAGACGGTATAGTGGTTAGGGGAGCCTGACTGTGATACTGAAGGGCCCGGGTTCGAATCCTGGAGAAGGCATGGATGTAAAAATTGTCTGTCCCTTCATAGGAGGCAATAGTGGCCCACCTATTAAACTAAGGAAAGAGGTATTAAGGTACTAAGGAAAGAGGACCTCCATATTAAAGAGACCACCGACCTGGCCCCTTAGGAATAGACGACACTGGGAGAGGCAAGTGCCCGCCATTAGGAAAAAAAATTTCATTGCAGTCACAAACACTAATGTCTCATTCAAGATCTAGACCCACTCTCGGCAATCAACCTCCACTAATCACAATACTATCTGAGTACAATTCACACTTTGCAGACAATACATAGGCAACATGCATTAAAATATGAAAATAAGATTCCATTAAAATTTTCTTAAATCAGAAACCAATTTAAAAGGAATGATTATGTCTCTCAACCAAAAATTTATTTTACTTTTTTAAGAACTGAAACTTAAAAAAGTGGTTTTACAAAATGCTACGATGTCTACATATATTCCAAATATGATTCAAATCCTTAAAAGGCATTAAATTCCTATGCATCTACTTTTTTCTTGGAAATTAATGACAACAAAAAGAAAACCTATTTCTCAATAAATCTTCATCATATTACCAAAGCTGAAAATACAGCTTGTTAGATTAATTTTACAAAATACGTAAAATAATTATTCAATCTTGAATCTTTTACAAAAACTAGTTCTCAATTACAGTTTAGGATAAAAACACATTGATTACATGCATTAATAGCACCCACATTGAGATGCTGCTAAAGAGTATGTTCTCTGATATACTACTTTAAAATTCAATAATAAAAAAGAGAGCAAAATCTGAATATCTGGCATAATGATAGTTTTTAAAACTTTTTTTAAAATTTCATCATACAAATCTGAAGAATTAAAGAAAAGGGGCAGTTTTAAAAATATATTCAATTCCAATTTTTTACTTTATGTGGAAGCTTAAGAATTCTATTATCATTTATATACTTAATATACATAAAATTAACTTGAATTAATATATTGCTTCAAACCTTTAATGAATAATCTTCATCCTTTTCAGAATTCTGAAACATATCACAGGATATTCCATAGTGGTAAATTGTCTGGCAGCTATAAAATAAATCGAAAAAAATTAAGAGAGTAAATTTGAAATCAGATTCATACCTATGCGTATATAAATAGACAAACCACAATACACATAGAGACACACATTATTAAAAATATATTATCTTTAAAAAGAAGTTTCAAACTGTTTGAGAATGAAATTTAGAAATATTTAAATCTAAAATTAAATGCTAAATCTTTGAAAATGATGATTTACATATGTAATTTTGATGAATATAAGTAAGTACCAAACAAAGCAAAAAAAAAAAAAAAAAAAAAAAAAAAAAAAAAAGAAGAAGAAGAAGAAGAAGAAGAAGAAATTTCGTCTATAAAAAAAAAAAAAAAAAAAACAACAAAATTACCCTACCAATATAGAATTTCTGAAAATTCTATAAACTTAAATGAATTTTTTAAGAAGATATTCTACATGATTTACATGTAAACAGTTTTAAAATTGAATATCATTAATTTTTACTAATAATTAAATACCATTAATTTTTTAACTTGATTCTAAATAATAAAGTTATTCAAAAATTTAATAATACACTTTTTTTGGCTAGAAATATTATTTTCCATTTTGGGGGGGGGGGGGGTTCTGAATTTCAAAATTAAAATTCGAAATAATGTGCATATAAGGAAAATATTCACATTTACAATGGACTGCAACAAAATCTAAAACAAAATAGATTTTAAAACTATGGTATCCGAATATATTCAGAACATATATTTTTAAAAAATACAGTATATGTATTTTAAAAAAACTTTTTCATTTATTTTTTAAAAGATTCATTGTGGAATATCGAGAGTTAATATATACTATTATTATCTTGCAAATATATTAAATATACATGGCATTTTAAGCAAATTTTTTAAAACATCTAGTTTAAAATCAAATTTAAAAAAGTCATACAACAATAAATTACATGCTGTTATCTAGAGAATGACATAAAATTTTTAGGATTGATTAAAACAAAAATGTTTTGGTTTATTGAAGTTTATGAGATTTTCAATAAATTTGTGATAACATTTTTTTTAATAACAGGCCATGATTTCAAAAATGTTCATAATATATGTATATTCTAGTATGTCATTCTCTAGATAACTATACATAAATTAAGAACACTATGTTTCGTAAAAATAAAATAATAATAATTTTATCTATATTGCATTAAGTAAAAAAATTTTGAGAAAAAATAAATGAGAAAAGAAGATTTAAAATTTAAAACGTTACATTTATATTATTAAATCTTCATGCCAGATACCTAGAAATCTCAAATCTATAGGTAATACTTTCCTTTTGCTCAGCTTTATCTGTTTTGCTTTTTACAGTAAACCTATTTGTTTTTTCTTGCAATTTAAAGTCTGGGTAGTCAGTGACATTGTGATACACTTATTCGCTTTACTAAACCTTTCGATTTGCAAATTTGCCATGCCATATAGCTATACAATTTAAAATATCTAATAAGAATAAAGAAACATCTGTTAAATTGTGTAACAGCCTTTTATGCCAAAATTTAAAAGTTTGTAATTCCGCAAGCACAACCATCAGTATAAATTTCCACAAAATGTCATTAAAACATTTGTTTGCATTTTACATCTTTCCATGTAAACACTTTAATAAGAGCTTTTGCTCATATAGTCTCATATAGAATACAGGCTTGAGAATATTAATAACATTCTTTGGATTTGTCTATGTACATTTTTCCAACTGATGCAGCATGCTGATACAGTCAAAAGTCGTTAATTCGGACACCCATAATCCGGAATGATCTATAATCCGGACCTCAAAGCTACAAACTTTCTGCGCATGCGTCGCTTTCACGCATGCGCACAGGCGTTTTCGAGAGCGCATAAGACCCTTACAGCTGCGAATATGTTTGTGCGCATGCGCGTTTAATGTGTAACGGAGTTATACGCTAAGCTAAAGTTATCTAATTCAGTTAATGTTGCAGATTGCGTTGTTCCTTAATCTTCGAATTGGATCCGGCTTATTATTTTTTGCAGACTGTTAGAGCAGTTTTATAAAAGTAAGCTTGAACTTTCGATTATGTCAAATAGAATTTCCGATATATATTTACTACAAAGCCAAAGTATGTTTTGAAATCCGAAATCTGTTTATCAATTTCCCCCTGCTCTGCAGCAGAGGGGGGGGGGCAGAAACGTCATTATTAGATTATGATAGATTAGAAAGATTATGTCAAATAGAATTTCCGATATATATTTACTAATATGTAATTTGTATCTACAAAGTGAAAGTATGTTTTTGAAATCCGAAATCTGTTTATCAATTTCAGGCTGCGGATTGGAAGTTGATCTGTCAACACTATCCTTATCTTCAGACGTTTTTATTTTATTTGGTTTATAATTCCGTACTAAGTGTAGTATTTCATCTCGATATACTCTGTCTTTGATATGATTTAAATCAAGTTCCTCCTCATTATAATTCGCTTCCGATAGTGAAGAAAGTGACCCAGAGGTTATTGAAAATGAAAACATTTCGATTGACAAATTAGTGGGTATTCTCAACACAGCAATTATAGGACTTGAACAGTGGAACTTTGTAACTAAACAAGAAATTATGTCTGTTTAATAGAATTAAAGAGAAAGTATTATCACATGAAACGAAGCAACTTACATTGAAGGAAATGTTTAATAAAGTAAACAAATAAATATTAAGCTTTTTCTTTTTGTAAATTTTGATACCCTTTAGATCATAATTGTTCTTTATTTCATAAATTACGTTTTCATATTTTTAATTTTGTAATTTCTGCATGCCATCTTACCAGATTTAAACTGATGATCTATAATCCGGAAAAATCGATAATCCGGAATCGCCGAAGTCCCGACGAGTCCGGATTAACGACTTTTGACTGTATTTACACCAGCTGTCTGCTTGAAATAGGCACTGGCCATGCATTAGTTCCCCCCACACACACACACACACCAGAGCAGGTTTTAACAAATGGAGCAATTACTGCAATTTGCATTCCCTGTAAGTTATATGCATTGTTCCTGATTACAGTAATTTTTAAACAAATCAATAAAGACATTCATTAGTGAGCAACACTGACAGGTCCCCAAAGACCTTTTTGTTTTCCCTTCAATTTTCTGAACCTGAATGGCACTTTTGTATATGACTTATGCATTCTTATTGGGAGACACAATTTACAACACAAATATCTTTCACATCATAAATCGCTTTCAAAAATTCTCCTGCTGATGAGCAGTTTTTTTTAGTTTTGGTTCATTCAATGTAAGAACTGCTTTATTAGCATTATTTTTCATTTTCTTTGTAACCCTGTTTCATAAATTTGTTCCTTACACATTTACATTCACAAGTACATTTCCAACTCTCTTTATAACTTTTCCATTTATAACTTTATAACTTTTCACTCCAGTATTATTAAAAATAATCAAAGAATGATATAAATCTAATTGCAATATACACTCTTTTGCAAAAAAAAAAAAAAAAAAATCAAAGCATCATGAAGGAAATGGTTGTTTTTGATGAAATTGAATATGTGTATAGCTCATACACAGATAATACAATGAATAAAAAAATCAAGGTCATAGTTACCTTGTTCACGGCTCACAATCACCCACTGAGTGTCCAAATTAGTAGTTGGTCGAACCGCCCCTGGCAGTAATGCATGCTTGAATTTCATCAAGGCAAGGAGTGGTAGAGGTTCCTAATGTCATCCCTGCAACATGTTCAGCCAGGCATTCATCAGTTGTTCGCTCCAGATCTGCGATATTTTGTAATGCCCGAATGTGGCGGCCTACCATGCCCCAGACATGCTTCGATTGGTGAAAGGTCTGGTGACCTTGCAGCTAAGGAAGAGTATCAGCCACACGGAGACAGTTCCAGAGATATGTGAGTGGATATGTTGCCTGACATTTTGTTGGAAAATGGCCGCAGGATAATGTGCCATGAAGGGTAATGCAACCAGCCACAGGATGGTATCAACATATCGTTGAGCTGTTCAAAAGATGTACAGAGGATGAACTAAAGATGATCTGCTGTCATAAAGAAATAGCGCCCCACACCATCACACCAGGGGTTATGGCTATGTATGCCTTTGTTAAAACAAAGGCTGATTGGGACCGCTGGCCCCGTTCCTCTCCAGAACACGAAACGGTGGTCATCTGCTTCTAGAGTGAAGCGAGATTCATCGCTGAACACTATACGATGCCTAGTACTGAACGGCAGAGTCGTCTGGAGTATGCCGCAGCCATGATGATCGGTTGCGACACCACTCCAGACGACTCCGCCGATGTTGTGGAGTCAAAGGCAAATGTCTTAAAGGCCTCTGTGAGTGTAACCTCGCCTCAGACAAGCGCTATGAGATGGTAGATGGTACCATGGGAGGTATAGACATATCTGTAGTGCGTTGAATAGTCGACAATGATATCGTCGGGGTAATTTGGGCCTGGCGAACAATCATCCTATCTTGCCTCGCATTTGTGCTTGGCCTACCAGAGCCTTTATTTCATCGGCAATTTCCTGGTAGCAAACATTGCTGCCAACATCTTTGTACATCAGTGGCTGTACGCTGCAGGTGGCGGCCTATTGCTCGGTATGACCACCCAGCTTCACACAACCCTACAATGCGATCACATTCAAAGTCATTTAGTTGTCTGTAAAGTCTTCAATATCATCGTAATAGCATCTTTAGTTGCTTCTTTAAGGAATTACAATTGCAGCAACAAAAAAAGATAAATTTTCCACATCTGTTACTGGTTTTATACTTTGCGAATTATGCATTAGATATGCTCACTATAATCACAATTCCAGTTCATTTGCCTTGAAACTTCGATCATTTTCATGTTCGATTTAGATGTTTTTGCATACTAAATTTTATCACGATCGCAAAAGTCCTTGGGGCTTCAATTTTTTTGCAAAAGAGTGTATAATGATTTGAATCAAATTCATACATACATACTAGTTTGAAACATCTGTTTCAACACGTAAATAATAATAGCATTGCATTTTATTCGAAGTAATTTCATGTTAATAGACTGATTAGAGATTTACAAATACTATCCTTCTAAATTCCGCCTCTTTGAAGAACTTTTAAATTATATTTCAAGGGAAGGGAACTGTTTATTTTATGTTTATTACTGTTTTATTTATTTACTATGTAAAATTTTTAACACTTTTCTGCTCTTTAAATGCACACTTGAAGCGATTTAAATACCCACTATCCATTTTTGCATCTTTGTGAAATGCTAGATACCTTGGTTTCTAATTAATGCAAAAAGAAAGGCTAGTCTCATTTGGAAAGTTAAATAAACAATCTGTACCATGAATGAATAAAAGAAAAATTGGCATTTTTGGCCAAAATTGACCTTATCAATGTGTTACGATATCTATGTTAAATTACATGAATGAGACATTGATTTTTATACTCAACTAATGTTCCTCAGAAAACATAGGTTAATTATTTGTTACAGTAAAAACACTTCAGGGTTATTTTGCCATAAAAGGGATAACATAGGGGAACACTTTTAAAAGTGAACAACCTACTGAGAGAAAACACAAAAACCAAAGCAGTACACAATCAAACTTAACTACTTTACTGTAAGAGGTACCTCCTAGCAACCAAAAATACAGCTAAGTGTGCAGTCAAAATCTAATAAAACTTTTTTAAGATTAGAAAATTTAGTTCAATCTATTATGAAAGGGAAATATTCTGCAGTCGAATTGAGTTATTACAGAAAAAAGTTAACTCAAATAGGCCCTAACATCTAGCCCAGATCTAGAAGCTGAGATTTTAGGGAAACCTCAAAAGGATCCTATTAAATTCCTCATAATGGGGGGGGGGGATTCAAATAATGACCAAAAAAAAAAAAAAGATACTGGAAGGCTTGCTAAGAATGCTGTGCTTAGCGTTACAGAGCTGTCTTAATCAACTCTTGACAAAGTTGTTGTCCTAAGGCAGAGATCGGCAACCTATGGCCTGCAAGCCGCATAAGCCTTATTAACATATGGGCTTTTGCAATGGTAGGTCAAAGGTTGCCGATCCCTGTCCTAAGCAATAAGTTTTAAAATATAGAAAACAGCAATAGCTTTCTTATAATTTTTTTTTTAAAAAAAAGGCTTCTAGTTTTGCCATTTCTAATGACAAATCCTCATACTTAATGGTAAATATTAAAATTAAAAAATTACTAATTTTGCTGGGGAAACAAGGAACTTACTGTGTACAAATCACATTTTCACAAGCTGGACACAAGAATTCAGAATTTTCTCCTTTCGAAACTCGGAAAACAGTTGGGCAATCTGGAGTAGGACAATAGCTAATTTTTCCCATGTTAGACTTCACATGATATTGCACAGCTGCATCATAAAACTGCTTCTTAACATCTTCTCCACCCACAGATAGAATTCTTTTGATATCTTCCAAAAAAAGTGGCTTTTCACAGTTCTGGAAATAAAAAAATATCTTTTAATAAGAAAATGAGCCAAATGCCTTAAATAATTCATTTACTAAATCCCTGAGAAAACTACAATAATATACATACAAAAAGTAATAAATGAAAGTTGAAAATATAATAGAAATGAAACATAACAATGATAATACACTGCAAAAATGTTATATTTTAAATGTAAATTAATTTTTTTAAACTATTTTATGGCATGCTATCAACAGGTAAACATAACTATATCGTACATTAAATGGTAGCACATACATAACAATTATGCAAGTATTCATGGCTTTTCCAAATATGCCTAACTCAGCAAAGTAAGGGACAGTAGAATTTATCCAATTTGAAATAATTATATTTTTGATGTTTACAAAAATATGAAGCTATTATAAATATTGGATCATTAAGAAAGTTAGGCAGTTTGTATCTTGTTGGCAAGAAAGTAATTCCATTTTTTCAGTGTGAAACAAGGCTACATTTTTTTTACACAAAAAAATGAACTTGAATCAGTCAAACACTTTCAATTCTGTTCACTGACGTTTTGCCATCTTTTTGGTAACATCATGATTCTGCACTCATGGTCTTTATCAGCAAAAAACTCAAACAACTGCAACTTGAGATCATCATTATCACTGAAATTTTTAACACTTAAGAAGTTCTAAACTTTGAAATAAATGATAATCTGATGATGCAAAGTCAAGGCTATATGGGAATAAAACATCACTTATCAATCAAGCTCCAATAATTTCGTATGTATTGCTAAAAATGTGCAAGGCCTCGCATGTTGAAACACAATTCCTTTGCCAATTATGGTCTTTTCTTTTTCATTGCCTCCTCTAATTTCAAAGGTTGTTGGCAATAAACATCTGAGTTAATAGTTTGGTTGCTTGGAAGCAGTTCAAAATACACAACACCTTTGTCACCCACCAAACTGACAGCATAATCTTTTTCTAATGCAAATTTTCATCATACTTGGTTCATGATCCTTTTTTCATTAATATTACTGTAAAGGATCCATTTTTCATCACCAGTGGGAATTCGTTTTAAAAACTGCAACTGGGTCAGTTGCATTACATATGCATACTTGCCAACCTATGACACTCAAAAATCAGGAGATTTCTCACAATGTTAAAAAGACTTTTTAAATGATAAAAATATAGTTTTTAATAAGAATTAACTTTAATAGTTACTAATTTTAAATGCAGACACAAAAACCTACACATCCAAAAACATTTTTATCATTGCATTTAGGAAAAAAAAAAGACAATTTAATCAGTTTGTACAAATTGTGAACAGTGGCAGATTTTGCTTTGTTAGAAAGAAACTTCCTAATTTGTTCAGATCAATTGCACGTAGGCTGCTTCACTAATAAAGTTTTCTATGCGTCTCATTATATAGTTATCAGCTGTTGAAGGTTTAATTTTCCTCCTTAGAACTCTTTTAAGATAATAATAAGATCAACATGTGTTTATCCATTTATTGGTAAAGAAGCTGCTCTTTTTTAGCCGCTAAATTAAGAGGTGACAGGTCACCTTATAATCTGCAAATTTGAATTGCTTTCTAACATGCTCACAAACAGTCTCAACATTATATGTGCATTATCGGCACCAAGTGCTAAGCAAATTATCCGAGGATGCATTCCTTTTAAAGTTAATAATTAGCTCTGCTATATTAAGCTGTCGAATGTCCTCTAAGTGGGAGAAGAAAAGTAAACTTACTCATTCGAAGACTCTAGATTAAAAAAAAGAAACAACAATGGATACAGTTTGATCGGATATGCTTCCATATAAAGAGGCAGGAGGAGCTGTTTAATGCAATCAATAACTAAAGAGTTATTTTTCAAACTCATTCTTTAAAATTGATCTGTTTGGTCCTTGCACTAAGTATTTCTTAGCGATTCACCATCAGGAAACATTTTTCTAATAAAGCTGCAGCGTGATCCGATGCACAGTGCAGGTTGCTCCAGTAAAAGGCAGGAAAGACATGTGATTAATACTTTTTGTCTTGTTTCGAAGAGAAATTTTAATTTTGTTTTTTCAAAACAATCAGTTGTCTTTGTGTTTTGTGTACGCACATTTGAGACAGCCGCCTTCCCTATTGAAATCGAAAAATCGCACGACGAGGTACCATTGCAAATTTTACATTCCTGAGGACTATGGAAGGAAAGTCAACTGGTACGATTTTGAACGACACAGTATTCACCTTTCTCACAACATCACAAAAGTGATAATTTCTAAAAATATTTCCCAAGGTACGGTACTCACCAACTGAGGACAAGATGAACGAAAAATAAAGAAATACAAATAACGCCTTGAGTTGCTTTGTGCTCATTGGCTATAAGTAAGATGACACACAGTGGCGATGAGCCATTGGAAAACTGGGAGAAAACGACGTTCTGGATACGTATGCTGTCTCACAAAGCAGAATTCTCATCTGATCGCAAGGTTTTTTTAGATATAATTAGAAAAAAGTCAGTGCTTCAGACGTCAAAATCACTTTTTTTTTTTTTTTTTTTTGTTCTATAACAAAGTATTAATCCATTCATAAAAATTTGAAACTTAAGATAAGAAAAAGTCGGGAGAAATATATTGTAAATCGGGTTGGTGGGAGAGTGGTTGAAAATCGGGAGAGTTGGCAACTCTGCATATTGAATGCGTATTGCAAATATTGAATCATATTAAGTGAATTTCTTTCAAGTCATGCAAAACCCCAATACTGAACTTCTTAACAAGTCAGAAGACATCTTATGTGACTTTCAAATGTTGTGCGTAATACATATAACTTTTTGCAATCTCTTGTACTGTTATATGACAAGTCAATTCAGTTAAGGCTTTAATTTTATTGCCATCAGCTTCAGGAGGCCAGCCTGAACACTGGTCAAATTCAAGCAAAAAACCTCCAGAAAAAGATTTTTTAAATCAATTCTGACACATACATTCTGTTTTGCAATCAACACTATAACCCTCACATATCATTTTGTGAGCCTCCGCTGCTTTTTTGCCTTTATGAAACTAAAAAGTGAAATATGTCGAAAATGTTTAATTTTGCACCCTCCCCCCATATTTAAATTCACTGTAAACTAACAGTTGTAAAAAATATACTATGCAGAATTCATTTCCATAGCAACCTAATAATGTCAGCTGTCATATCTCAAAAGAAAAAAATTATAAGATCCACAAGAGAATTAAAAAAAACATAACACTATCTATTTGTGCAAACTGAAATTACTTTCGTGCCAATTTAATATACACTGGTTACCATAAATTAATGAAAAATCACAAAAATAGCTATAACTCCCTCAAAAATAAGCCAAACCATAAAAAATCTGAATATGTTGCCAAGTAAGAGTAGCTGAGTAAAACTGCAATATGCAAATTAGTGGCGCTGCACTCGGAAATAGTCATCGCAGGAGATAAAAGGCAGTTGAGGCAGCCAACATATTCACGGTGATAGTAACACAGAAATTGGATAGCCATTCGTAACAAGACTCCAGGAATAATTGCCGGCTGAACTACGATGGAGAGCCATGGAAGACTAGAAGCAGGATAAAGTCAAACAGAGTGACCAAATGGCAATGTGAGTCTCGTGGCTCATAGACTTTGGAGGGATTTCAACCACAAATAGGCCGAAGGAGGTCAGCAAGACGGGCAACGCTAGCGGCGCTGTGACGATATTGACTCAGGGCGGCGGAATAGAACGCTACTCGACTTATAGATCCTCCTGCTGCAGCACCGGAGGTTGGTGTCAACGTCAAGTAATAGAAGACGTTACAAAGGGGTCTGTTGCGAGGCGACCAGCCATTTGCGTGCCCAAGTCACGCCAAGGCGGACGTTGCAGTGGGCATGACAATATGTCCACTGGATGTCTGATCATCAATGGAGGATTGTTCTTATGGATGAGTCCGGGTTTAGTCTAGAAAGCAAAATAGTAAGTGTTATTTGAGATGGAGAGAACCTGGAACCCATTATCATCCATCAAACATCTGTTAAAGAGATGCATACGGAAGAGGCAGTGTCTGTGTTTTGGGTGGCATCTCTTTTGATGGACGCACAGATCTCCATGTCTTTCCAACGGAAACCGTGAATGCTCCGGTTTATAGAGATGGCATCATTGATGCTTATGTGCACCCATGTGCTGGGGCAATAGGTGATGCTTTCCTGTTACAGAACGATAACTCAAGACCACACAGGGGTCGCATCGTGGATGATTATCTTCAACAGGAAAACAATTTGCGCATGAGTGGCCAGCTGATCCCCGGATTGAATCTATAGAGCACGTTTGAGATGATTAGAGAGACGTCTAGCTGCTCTCAGTCTGCCCCTCAGACCCTTGCCACAGTGAACAGCAAGCAAGAGCAATGGCTCTCGTTCCTATAGAACTGATAGACCGCATAATTGAAAGCATCACGCATCACTGTATGCGGTTGCTTCTAGAGGCGACCATATTCCCTATGAAGGTACTTTTCCTATAGCAAACTGACACCTTCAATTGTTCATTTTATACATGTGCTAATTCTATACTACCATAATAGTCTGGTAATTTATTTTTATGTTACTTGATACCTTACTATGTGTTCTATATTGTGGGTAAGTTTCACTTTTTCAGTAATCGTGATTTTTGTGATTTTTCCTTAATTTATGATAACCAGTGTATATATAACATGAAACAGTACTAAAAAAAATTTTTTTTAATCTCATTTAATAATATAAGCAACATTTCTCTCCATGATGTTTTTGTCATTTCTCGGACAGCTGGAAAATTCCTTTTTTAAATCCTTAGGTTTATCCGTAAAAAAGAAGTGATTTGAAGTCATGAAAGTCTGACAGGGCATGATCTAATGAATATCGGGAGGTAATATATAACATTCCAACATACTCAATCTTTTGATTTCCTTGAAATATGGGACCAAGCATTGTCTGGATGGAAGACAACACCTTAATGATTGTCACTTCTAGGCACATTGCCTTGCTTTCCACTTTTAAAAATGTCATTTGGAAACAGTATATTTCAGAATTTACTGCGTGATAGCAACAATTCACAGTATACAAATTTTTTGTAGTTCTATGATACACAAAGCATTATCTTTTTCAGATGCAGTTCCCCTTCTCAAAGTTTATAAAGCAGATTCTTTTCGCTTATCCCATGATCTATTTTTTTTTGACATTTCTGAGTAGTATCCAGTTTCATCTCCAATAATGAAGCAGTTTAAAAATAATAAGCTTCCTTATTTGTTTTCCACAAAGAATCACATGCTTTGATCTGTTAAAGTATAGGCTACTCATACACCTCAGCTGTCCAGTCTTCTTTAAATGATCATGTATTGTATTTTTGGGAATATTTTGTCTGCCTAATAGTTCCTGCACTGTATAATACTTATTTTCCATGATAGCACCTTTTAACGGCTCCTTGTTTACAGAGGATGATTGTCCAAAGCAGGCATAATCTTTGAGGCTGAAATTTCTATATTTCTCAAAGCACTTTCAAACTGTGTCATCAGAAACAGATTATGTCCATATATAGCATAAATTTTATGAGCAGGCCAACTAGCATTTTTCCCTTTTTAAAATAAAATAGCATAATATAATGAAAATGAACTTTTTTCCATGTTTAGCACTGCAACAAAACATGTCATAACACATACTAGAATTACATAACAGTAGCAGAAAACACAGTACTTAAACATCCACTTCAATCGAGGTCACTCCTTATCAGCAGTAGCAAAATAATTCGAAGAAACTGCACTTTGATTTGAAAACTGCAGAGCTTTCCGCATAGCCCAACATATCCAAAACGTAAAATAATATTAGACGTTAGAATTTTTAAAAAAAGTTGTCAGCAGTACATCAAAAGGAAAATTTGCCAAAGTTTTGCAGTTCTCTTTTAAAATGCTGTAAATGGCATTCTTTAGTGACAATAACAAACTAGAAATGATATTCAAAATCATCTCATACTCACTGTAACATGCCTCAATTCAACAATAGTTTCTGCACGCAGCAGTGCACAAGACAGCATTTTAAAAAAGCCTAGATATGTTCACAAATCACATCGCTACTGGAAATAATGTGTTGGTTCAAATATTACCACTCATATAATAATGCAGTCCCATAGAACATTAATTAAAAAAAAAAGCAAAACTTTGACATTTCTTCGAATACCAGTAGTCATTCCATGTTCATAAGGTGAGTTAGATCGCATTATAGGCAATATGGGCTCTGAGCCACACGATGTTTGATACTGTAGTTACATTCTTGAAAATAATATTATAGTTGGTTGAACCAGAATACTCTATTTCACATCATGATGTGCAGTAGTTTGAATAGCTGCAAGAGTAAAAGAAATCAGTATGGGTGCCACTGCCGAATGTCTTGGCTTTCACTACAGATGGTAGATAAGAAAATATCTTGAAGTGCATTTTCTAAGTTGGGAATAAGGCTAATATGAATTTTGACCATGATTTCAAAATCAGACTGTTGTTAGAGACAGTTAATAATATATACAAGTGTTATTCTAATCCAAGTGAGGAGCATTTGTTTGGCTTTCATTGTTTAAAATAGAAAAAGGACATTTCAGACAATGAGGACTCTGGTATGATTTTCATAAGTAACAAATTCACATGATGAAGAAGCAAATACTGGATTGCATCTAACAAGTGTATTATGGAAAGGAGGAGATAATGAATTGTTCCCAGTGTTACTAATTTCCAGCTGAAATGCTGGAAGTTGGAGCTCACATCCTATATGATGTCTCCGTTTCAGTTGAAATTTTAAAAAAATCACAAATTAATAGTCAAAAGAACATTTTTTTAATAAAAAGAGTGGATGAATGCATGCATTATCAATTCATTTTTAATTAAAATGTTATCTACAAAAGAATAGTTGAAAAAAGAATAAATATTACCTGTTTGACACAAATTAAAGGTATGCTTTTGGATTTGACTTGTAACAGAAGACAACTCTTGCAAAAAACATGACCACAGTTTTCAAGTCTTTGGAAATCATATGAAATTGGATCCAGACAGATTGGGCAGGTTTCTTCTGGATTATCTTCAGAAGCTGTATATTTCGCATAAAGCTCAGCACAGATTTTTTCCAGGTTTTCTTCAGCCTTAACAAATTATTTTAATTATACATAAACTATCACTTCATAAGAAATAGTTCTAAAAATTCATCAAAAATACAGTCAAAAGTCGTTAATTCGGACACCCATAATCCGGACCTCAAAGCTACAAACTTTCTGCACATGCGTAACGTTGACACATGCGCATAAGACCTTTACGACTGCGAATATACATGTGCGCGTGCGCAAAATACGTTTACGAATGCGCGTTTAATGTATAATGGACGGTATAAGCTAAGCTAAAATTATCTAATTCAGTTAATGTTGCAGATTGCGTTGTTCCTTAATCTTCGAATTAGATTCGGCTTATTATTTTTTGCAGACTGTTAGAGCAATTTTGGGCTCGGCGTGCGATGAATTGGAAGTTGATCTGTCAGCACAATCCTTATCTTCAGGGCAGATGTTTTTATTTGGCTTATAACTCCTTACTAAATGTAGTATTTCATCTCGATGTACTCCGTCTTTGATATGATTTAAATCAAATTCCTCGTCATTATAATTCGCATCCGATAGCGAAAAAAGTGACAGAGGTTATTGAAAACGAAAAAATTTCGATTGACAAATTAGTCGTCATTCTCGACACAGCAATTATTGAACTTGAACAGCGGAACTTTGTAACTGAAGAAATTATGTCTGTTTATAGAATTAAAGAGAATGTATTATCACATAAAAAACGAAACAACTTAACTTACATTGAAAGAAATGTTTCATAAAGTAAACTAATAAATATTAAGCTTTTTTTTTTTTGGTAAATTTGGATACCCTTTAGATCATAATTGTTCTTTATTTCATAAATTATGGTTTCATATTTTTAATTTTATAATTTCTGCATGTCATCTTACCAGATTTAAACTGATGATCTATAATCCGGAGAAATCAATAATCCGGAATCACCGAAGTCCCGACGAGTCCGGATTAACGACTTTTGACTGTATGTAGTTTTGTTCAATAATATTGCTAATAAAATTTTAAAAATTTTTATTAGCAGTATTATTAAACTAAAATCCTTAAATTTATTACTAAAATAATCCTTCATAGCCAACTCAGCAAGAAAATAAACATATCAACAACAAAACTGCCATACAAAACAATTAGGATACCATTCCAATTTTGCATGTATTAGAATGGTACTAACCTCATTTTGCACAGACAATCTCTCTTGACAGATTTTAGAAATTTAATAATAGAATGAAAGTCTGAACAAGAAAACAAACTTTAAGAAAGGAGAAACTTTTGGAAAATGCTACTGAAAAACTGGTAATCAATGACAAACAGAAAAGAGACTTAGTAATTCTTTATGACAAGCTATAAACTCAACTACGTTCACTGGAATCCCTTGGTTTAACTAAAAACCAATTTGCATGCGTTTTTCTTCCTTAAGTGGAATCAGCACTTCCTACCGATTTAATAAAAAGTTGGGAAAGACCATGAAGTGCATCTACTGGAACAACAGGCAAGAGCGATTTAGATTCATTAATTTAAAAAAAAAAAAAAAAAGTAGAAACTGAATTTACAGTTAAATATACCATGATATTTGAGATTCCGAAAAAGTAAGTAATAAGAAAAATAAGTTTTTTGAGACGAAATCTGTTGTTTCAACTGCATGTATAAATAATAAAAAATTTCAAAAGTATAAAAAATATTATACTTTTTGTGAAAAATTGTATATGTCTGATAATTGCAATGATGCATAAAAAAGATATCATTAAGGAATTTTTTATTTTTATTTTCTATGTCTTGAGAGAAATCACAAAGCAAATCAATGCAAGTCTAACATAAGTGTCTCTCCTATGTAAAAACCAACATTTTGTGATTATGTGTCCTGATTTGCCTTCTAATAAAATAAATAACATAACAAATTCAAAAAAATGCTGAAAGCAAAACAAGCACTCTAAATAATCATGTTAAAATATCATTTGTACACCTTAAAAATTCAAAATGGTTCTAACGAAATGTTTCTACGAGGAATTTATGACAGTGGTTTTATGAAATCATATTTCTGTAATGGCATTGCTCAGAAATTGAATTGTAAGTGTACTGATGAATCAAAAATTAAGCAATCTCTATTTTGTGGAGTCAAGACTACAGAAAATGTATATAAAAACTATGTTATTTAAGTAAGCAGAACAGATGGTAAATATAAGTGCGAATCAGAGGTACTTGGGCAAAACAAAATTTGTTCCAAAATTAAACAACTCTCATTTAGTTCATGGTCATGTGGTATCCAAATAAGTTATTTAAAAAATAGTTCATGCTACGCTGATAAAGAGATAAAATTGTAAATTGGTGCCGAATTATTTGCTGGTAAGTTGTTAACTGGGAAAATTGTTCCTCTTATGTGTTGCGTCAGCACTGTGTATACCCAGTTAAACTGGACTATTATGGGCAAATTTAATTGCAATTCTAACAATAAGTCAACTGCAGTAAATACTACTTCTTTTGTATTTCTTCTCTGTTAGTGAATGACCAGCGTATTAGTGATCTGTGGAAGTTAGATGTTTTAGGAATTAATAACCCTTCCATGAGTAAAATCAAAACTCAGTTGCAGGAAGATGCAAAAAAATAATTTGAAGAAACTCTTGCAATAAATTCTGATGAGAGGTACGAAGTCGCATTACAATAACTTGTTTTTTCCCGAAAACGAAGTGATAGCAGAAAAATGTCTTGTAAAAACTAAAAGAAAATTAGTGACTATGGAAATTTTGATGCTTATGGAGATGTTTTCAAGAAATGGTTGGTTCTTGGTATAATTGAAGAAGTCCCAGGTAAGTATAAATTCAAGGGTGTCCATAATTTGCCTCGTAGGGCAGTTGTAAAAGAAAACAGTAGTACAGTGTTTAACGCAAGTTTTCATTCACCTGGTTACCCATTGCTGAATGACTGTTTATCTACTGGACCAAATTTGATTGAAATGATACTTTTGATTCCGATTCAATTTGGCAAGAACAACGTTGGTGTCACTTCAGATATAAAAAAAAGCGTTCTTTTAAATATCTGTAAAGGGGAAAGATTGAAACTTTTTAAGATTTATGTGGTTCAGTAGGGATAATCAGGAACAAGTTGAATTGTATCAGCATTAGCATACAGGAATAGTTTTTTGAACTATGTGTAGTCTATATTTATTAGCCACTACAATATAATATCATTTAAAGTGTGGTTCCTAAAAACTCAAGACATACAGAAGAGATTTTGAAAACCTCCCTTTACGTAGATAACTGTGCAGCCAGTATGGATTCGGAAATAGAAATGAGGAAGTTTGTAAATGAATCACAAATGATAATGGCTTCAGGTCATTTTAATTTAAGGTTTTGGAAATCCAATATAAGAAACATTGTATCTGAGGAAGTTTCCTCTACAGGAGAAGATGTGCCTGTTTTGGGCCTTGTGTGATACAAATACAAGTGTGATACATACAGATACAAATACCTTACTCGTAAAATACATCAAGATCTAAAATTGGATAACCCAGTTACTAAAAAAATGTTTTAGTTATAGCTCACCAAGTATTTTATGTTATAGAACACAGCTCCTGGAATGTTGATTCCGAAACTGTTTTCATAGAAAACTTGAAATTTAAGGCTTAAATGGGACGATGCACTTGCTGATGATTTAGACAAAAAATTTAGATTCTGGCATCAAAATCTGTACTTGCTTTCTAGTATTCAATATCTAGATGGGTAGATCTCAAATCTATAAATGAATTTGTAAGTATACATCTCTTTTGTAATAGTAGTAAATGTGCATATGGTGCATGCGTCTTTTTAAGAGTCGAAAATGGTAAAGATAAAGGTTTATTTCACACACACACGATCTAGAGAGGCACTTTTAAAACCCATTCCTTGCTTAGAACTTCTTGCTTGTAGTATAGGTGCTAGGTTATTGTCCTCAGTTTTTCATGATACCACATTAATTAATGCATAAAGTTAGTATACACTGTTGGACTGACTCCTCGATGGCTTTGTGTTGAATATGGCGAGATCGACAATGGAGAGTATTTGTTTTTAATCGTGCACAGGAAATCAGGTCTTTGACCTACTCTACAGCATCATGACTTACCCTACGACGTCATGTCCCAAGTAGTCTCAATGCAGCAGATATACTTTCTAGAAGTTGTTCTATGGATCAATTAATAGGACAAAAATGGTGACAGGAACTGTTTGGTTACTGGAAGATGGGGCAAATTGGCCTAAATCTAATGACGAACCAGATGAAGATTTGGTTCACTCAGAAATATGCAATACAGTTATTTGTTACGCTGACAAAAAATAATAATTCTACTGACTGGTACTATAAGTATTTCTCAAAATTTAAGAAAATTGTAAGAATATTAGCATGGATATTTAGATTTTATAATAATGTATGTAAGGATAATAAAGACAACCTTGCTAAGGATTTGACGATATCTGAAAGAGAAAAGTGAGAAGTAGCTTTAATGTTGTTAATACAACAATGTTCACTAGTGAAACAGATGATAAATTAAAACAACTCGAGCCACTTGCTGATAGCCAAGGTCTAATAAGAAACAAGTCTAATGTTGCTTATTGTGATGACTAGCAGCTTTAAGTTACCAATTACATTACCATACTTACCAACCTATAACACTCAAATATCAGGAGATTTTTTTAAGAAATCAGTTTTTTGACAATGTTAAAAAGACTTTTTAAATGATAAAAATATAGTTTTTAATAATGAATTAACTTTAAATAGTTACTAAGTCTTAAATGCAAGCAACACAAAAATACTTTAGACAGAAAAAACATTTTTATTGCTTGCATCGTTTAAAAAAAAAAAAAAGACACTTTAATCAGGTTTTGTACAAATGTTATGAACAGTGGCAGATTTTGCTTTCGTTAAGAAAGAAACTTCATAATTTTGTTCATAAAAATTGCCACGTAGGCCTGTTTTCGCTAATAAAAGTTTTTCTAATGTGTCATCACCAATATTAGATCTAAATTTAGTCCTCGTTTTCGCAACAACACTGAAAATCC